GTACTGAACCAAACACTATAGTCGACCCAAGGTAGCACCACCCCATGCTATCCATGCGATCGTCCTCGGACTGTCACAGTGAAGTTAGTAAATAGTTGGATCGGGAAAGTGGCACGGAAACCTTAATCATCAGGGATTGGCGTTGGGATCCAGAGAAGATTGATTAATCGGGGTTCAGAGCCGACGGTGAGAATTCCACGCAAAATCAGGCTAACCATCGAGTAATCATCGGTCCTTGTTCGTTCCATCATTTTTAATCATCCCCCCCTTTTTTTTTTTTTTTTTTTAACTCTATTACCCGAAATAGTAAAATAATTGTGAACCTACCAAAAATAAATTCCGAGAAAGTCTTAATTAAATTGTTGAAATTCTTTGTTCCTTTCCTCCTTTATCGTTTTTAATCTTTTCCTTTGTTTTCAATTCCATTGCCGAAAAACATAAAAATAACGGGGTATTTTCTCCAAAACTCAAATGCTGCAAAAAACAAGGAAATTAAGGAATATTACGTTTTTCTCTTCCCTCCTACTGAACTCAATTTCTTCTCCCATCTTTGATTTAGATACCAAAAATGACAAAAAATTGAGGCGCTATTTTGACCCCGATCATATGCTGCAAAGAACGTTGCAGCGGGGTTAGTCCCCGCGAAGCCCCCTCGCGGCAGGCCAATTCGGGTCTAACCCTCTGAACGGCCGAAAATGACGGTCCGTTGATGTGCCGAGTGCGACCACCCATCTTGCCATTTTTGAGGGTTACCCGTAAGGTCCAGCGCGCCCAAAATCAAGGGCGCCCCGAGGTCCCCTAATCTCCGCTGCATGGTCTAACCAGAGTACCACCAAAACTCAGACTCGTGTTCGCGCCTAAGTCCCAAAACCGTAGATTTCAGGCGGCGCACTGCTTGCGGCCGCCTGACAGTTAGCCCGGACCACTTCTCGACGCCCCCGTCGAGCCCTAGCAACTTACGTCAGACGAAGCGGATGAGCTTCAGGGTTATGGCCCGTAAAGGACACCCACGTCGGCGCTCAACTGTCTTATGTTTAAGTTTGTTACAAGTCCTGGGGCTAAGAAGATGCTTCTTGATTCTCGTGTTTCTTCTGGTTTTTGGTCCCGTCACGATCCTCTTTTTCTTCTGTCTTTGCCCCGAGAAGGGTGTCGACCCGCCAGTATGTCTAACCCAAACTCTCCGTCTGGCTCGCTTGAGCACGAATAACCATCTCTTCTCTCTTCCTAAAGCTAACCCTTTGACCTTTCTCTTCCCTATTCTTTTCCTTTTCTTGGAACTCTCCCCTGCCTCGAATTGCCTCAAGGGGGCTCCATCCTCCATCATGGCTTTCCCTTTCCCTTTCGGGCTGGTTAGCGATAAAGTGGGCGCGGGCCTGGGCCTAAACAGCTTTAACCTAGCCCCCGCCACCGGGTCCTTCCACTTAGATCCGTCTAGTTCTGCTATCATATATGCACCCGAGTCAAGTGCCTCAACCACTCTGTAAGGTCCCATCCATCTATTGGCAAGCTTTCCGGGTCCAGGTTCTTTCCAGCGCTGCATCGTAGAGGAGGACCATGTCTCCTACACTCACCCTCTCCTTCCTGATCCGCACGTTCTTATCCCATCTCTCTTTACCCTTGTCCTTTTCCACTGCCAGACGATCGGCTGCTGTCATAAGGTTATCTTCCAACCCGTAGGCTATCTGTCTTGTTCGAGCAGCTAAGAGTTCCTCTCTGGACATCTCCTCTGCCCAGTCGACGGTTGTCCAGCTGTCGACGTGAAACTCTATGGGAAGCGGACAATGTCGCCCAAACCATAAGGTGTACGGTGGGTATCCGGTACTAGCCCGGACCGTGACGTTGTCCGCCCATATTGCGTATCGAAAATATCGTGGCCAATCACTGTCCTTACCCTTGCGCCACTTGGAC